ATATATCGTTTTTGAACAGGTGTAGCACTTGTTTCAATACATTCGATAAATCATTGTTGAGGAGAACGTAGCACATCGAATACATCCGATACAGCAGTGATAACAAGGGCGTAGTACATTGAACATTGAACCCATGCCCTCTGGTGCCACCCGCTTACCTCAGCCGCGTGGTGAAGGAGAACGTCCCCATCAAAGTGTATGCGCATAGTCGCTTCGTGTAGTGCATTGTCTAAACTGTTGTGTTTGCCCGTCCCAATGTACCCAAACCGCGCCACGAGTGTGAAAGCCCTTGCTAGAGTATCAGTCGCCCTATTAGATACGGGTATAGATATAAGGATCCGATTGCAGGGGGAGATTGTCAGTACATAGCTCTTAGGGGTTAGAGGTTAGGGTCCTATTTGCGAACGTTTGTCGGCGTACAAGGTAGCGAGTCTAGTACGTTAATCCTGTTCTGTTAATTTCAAGACAATTATTATTGATACTAGCCCTCCCCAGGCTGGCCACATATCTTGGAAAGGGTAAAGACAAGGTTTGTGCACCTACAGGCACTCGTCATGAACGACAGACACAGTACAGTGCACGAACAAACCCTTCGCAACGACGCGAAGTGACCGACCACAGCAACTGACGCGTCACTCGCGAGACAACCCCAGCACCTTCCAATCGGTTTAAGCTGCGCCACAAGCACAAGCACAAGCACAAGCAAAAGCAAAAACAAAAGCACAGACATAGACACAAACACAAGCACAAGCAAAAAAAAAAGCAAAAGCACAGACACAGCCCGATGGACAAACACACGTGACTAGATTCAATTGCCTGACACCCTACATAAGCCTATCAGTTGTGTTAGCGTACGACAGTATATCGCGTAGTTCCTGCATGGTACAAGGGCGTAAAACAACCATATGCACTCTACAAGCACAAGCACAAGCATCGACACAGACACAAGCCCAAGCACACACACTCCACTGGAGAAACACGTCCAACTACTCCAACAGCACCGTCCACCCGTTCTACACAGCATAATGTCTGTTGTTTTGTCGGCAGGTCCATTGTATTGGTACTCGTGTCATGACATCTAGTGACGACTTGAGTAGAGCAACGTACATAAAATGACACTCACTTACACATGACAACAGAGGAGATAAACGGTTATGTCACTTACATGGTTGAGGATGCATTGAATACCACCTGCAGCAACTCTTTGAATCCGATGCCACTCGTCACCCGCGAGAGATAAATGTCGAACTCTTGCGGGCGCAACGGCAGCGCATCGAAATGGTCGATACCGAACTGTTGGTTGATTCCCTGTCTGTACATGTGGAGGGGGAACAGAGATGAGACGGGAAAGATAGTATGTATGCGAGAATGAACGTATGCAGGTAGACAAATAGGGCAAGATACGATAACATCAATGCTTTAGGGTTGGGGATTGGGGTTTTAGGGTTTAGCATGTGCATGCAAGGTTGCGTGGAACAGAGCAGCGTGACATCGACACGCCCATCTACACCTGCAAGCATGGCCGAAGAAAGGTTCGTAGGGTCACATGCGTACGAGTATAGGGGGTGGTTCACAGGAACGTACGAGAAATTACAGGGGGTGGTTCAAAACGACATACGCGAATTATAGGGGGTTGTTCATAACAACAAACGCGAATTATAGGGGGTGGTTCATAAGAACATACGCGAATTATAGGGAGTGGTTTATAAGAACATACGCGAATTATAGAGGGATGTTCATAAGAACATACGCAAATTATAGAGAGCGGTTCATAACAACAAACGCAAATTATAGGGGGTGATTCATAACAACATAGGCGAATTATAGGAGGTGGTCCATAACAACAAACGCGAATTACACTCACGGTGATCAGGATTGTGGGAGAGGTGCCTATAACACTCACGTAGACCACAAATGTTGCAGAGGCATTGGCGGGGTGACTGTGTGTCTACTGTTTGTGTGAGACAATCGAGAGGCGCTTGCGAGTCCTTTGCCTGGGACAAGAGGCATGGTAATAGGAGTGGATGGATCCATATCAGCGGTAATAGGAGTGGATGGATCCGCTGATATGGAAACATATGGGCAGAAGCGCACTTATTGTATGTCACATATATTGTATATGATGTGATATATGAACAAATTGTCACATCAGCAGAGTATAAAACACCACTGCATGTGCCGTAACTGAGACATACACTGACAAGCTATCACATTACACAGTTAATGTTCAGAAGAGTATATGTCCTTACGGCATGTCCATAACTGAGACATACACTGACATGTTATCACATTACACATTTAATGTTCAGAAGAGTATATGTCCTCACGGCATGTGCCATAACTGAGACATACACTGACATGTTATCACGATACACAGCTAACGTTCAGAATGACCCCACGGCATGTGCCGTAATTGAGACACACACTGACATGTTATCACGTTACAAAGCTAATGTTCATTGACCAATTCACACACCACAGAAGTCCACATGTGATACCACGAGCACCAATGACTTAGGATTTAGTGTTTAGGGTGTAGAGCAATACAAAGAACGGTACACACTTTGTCATCACGGAACGGGCGCGTACAGTTTCCTTTCCATCGAGTGTGTCGGTTAGTCCTCGTGCAGAGGCCACGTGGGTCAACACATCTAATGCGTTTGACGATGTCAGATATCTCCAGTTGGCATTGAGCAGCGCCTCCACACCAGAGATGTGGTGTGCGGTTGCTATGGCCGTTGCGAAGTTGTGCTGGTTCCACGGATACGCGGGCTATATATATATATATATATGAGTGAGTGAGTGGGTGAGGGGAGGGGGAAGGGAAGAGAGAGAGGGGGTTAGGTGAGGCGATGTATTGGGGGAGTCGTATCGGTAATAGTAATGGCAAGGACGGTGTGATAGGCAGAGGTGTGTGGACACTTCTGAATCGGATAGGCTACACATTCACTCGGTACCGTAGAAAGGGGTACGCAGCCCCGTATTCGTTGTACCGTATTTTAAGTACACTGCACAGTGAACACTCGTTGTATAGTCTCTGATACGGCCTATCCCATTCCTCGCTCGCTTTCCTATAAGCCAGTTAGTTCGACCAGTACACGTGGCATGCGTTGGCGCGTCATAAACTGACCGGAGGATAGTGAGAAGGTCTGACCTAAATGATATGGCAAACGGACGAGACACAGATTGGACTACAAACTGGAGAGCAATACGATAGACATTCACATCACCACAAAACACCACTTACAAGCTTGTGGTGATTCACCCGCCAAATAACACTCACCAGCTCGATAAGACTATACCCCAAAGCTTAATTTACCACCGTGTTAGCGTACAACTACCACCCGCTTACCACCGTGTTAGCATACAACTACCACACACTTACCACCGTGTGAGCATACAACTACCGCACACTTACCACCGTGTGAGCATACAACTACCACCCACTTATCACCGTTTGGGCATACAACTACCACACACTTACCACCGTGTTAGCATACAACTACCACCCACTTACCACCGTGTGAGCATACCCCTTAACTTCCACACACTTACCAGTTTGTTGGAGTTGAACGCGACGTATCGGTCGCTGACCCCCTTGTAGCTCAGAAGGATCTGATTGGCCGAGAGCACCCGATTAGCCACGGTGTTGTGGTCTGTCTCACGGACTGTATCTCTGCGTACACGCGCAGCGCCGCTAACAACTCCATACCGGTCCACCATAGATGTTCTGTATCTTCTTCTTCTTCTTCCTGTGTTCTTTTGCTCAGTCTGTGCTTGCGACTGTGAAGCACCGTCTGCGGCCACACTTGTCTGTTCGTGTTGTTTGCGTTGATCATGTACGTGTTTGTTGCTTGTTTGCGGTATCTGTGAGCCATGTGCTTGCGGTTCCCCATTTGCGGCCACACTTTTCTGTTCGTGTTTGTGGTTATATGTGCTGTTTGTTAGTGGTGACAGCAGGCTTTCATCCACAGCCACACTCCCGTGTCCATACCCATGTGCGCTGTCTAGTAGCGGGGTGGTGGTAGTGGTAGTGGTAGTGGTGGGCTGTGCTTCTTCACCAGTGCCGAGATCCTCTCTAGTCTCGTCGGCGTTGCTATTCGTTGTAGGTTCCGTATGGCTCATACCAATCTCACCCCCTATGCTTTCACTATGTGGAACGTTCTGTGCGTTGCTTATGCTTGTACTAGGTACCATGTCCCGTGTATCCCCTATGTTTGAAATATGTACATCCTCCTGTGTGTCCCATCTGGGTGGCATATCAGGACCATCTCGTGACCTATCCCTCACAGACGTGTTGTCTGTGTCTGGCCGAGTCTCGTCTACAGGCGTCGTCTTCGCCCCCCCACAGTCCCCCTCTTCGTCACCGCTGCTAATCGAATCAGTCGGTACTCCTGTGCGTAGCACCCCCTGTCTTTCCGCTTGGCCCCTCTCCACACCCTCAGCACTTGCCATATGGCCCAGGCCTACACGCCGCTCCATCCCTCTATCTGGCATTACCACATCCACTCCCGTGTCGTCTGTCGCAGGCGTTGTGTGTGGCGTTGTACTGTCCACAGAGCCCTCTGAGTCCACCATGTGCCCAGGCGTGCTCGCGTCCATCACCTGCTTCATTTGCCCAGGGGTACTCCCATCCACCACCTGCGTCACATCCGTGTGCACCCGCAAGTCTACTGTCGCACCGTGTAGCGCAGACTCCTGCCCCTCCGCTCGTCCTGAGAGCACTGCTGTGTCGCTCTGTACCGCTCCAACGTCATGCTTTGCCTCGTGTGATACGTCTTTGCATGTGCCTATACCCGCGCCAGTAACGTACTCCCCATCAGACGGGTTGCCCTGGGCGCGAGTCAATGCCTCTGCTTCGCCCACCTCCACAGCCCCGTTCAACGTCTCTGTCGCTGTCTTCACCAACGGCCGCTCATCCGACACACCCGCCGGTGTGTGCCAGATCACACTGGAATTTGCAGGCGAAGGGGTCTGAGTGTGTGGGTGTTTTCCGACAGACTCACTTGCCTCTGCTGCCTCAGGGGCAGCCTGCAGTTCCACCAGCGAACTAGTCACCAGGTGAGTGGTGTATGTGTACGATAGCGTCTGCGGATCAATCATAGTCGCGGCCGTGATGTGCGACGAGCTGCTGCACGAAGTGTATACAAATATGGGGTACTTAGTGTTTGCAGAGGCTGCTGACGGTTGTGCTCGAAAAGTCGGTGCATGTAGGTAGTATCAAATCTAAATGCATATATGTATACATACACACACACACGCACACACACACACACATATATATATATGTACACACACACACACACATATATATACATATATATGCATATATACATACATACATACATACATACATACATATATATATATATATATATATATATATATATATATATATATATATATATATATATACTATATACTAAACTACTATATATATATATATACTACGTACTACT